ACAGAAGCCGTAATTCAGTTGCCTTTAGGAAAGAATGTTTCTTAAAATAATAAAGTGGTGTTGGTTATGATTAGCTTGTCGAGACTGTTTTATGTACAGATATGGATTAATTGTGACTTACAGAGAATTTTTCTTGCCGTTAAGAAGCTACAGTAAGTTGTCTTACTGCAATTATTAATTTCGTTGTTTGTATCAATAAGATAAGATTTTGATCTTGTTGACCTGTCTGTTATAGAAGATGTCAAAAGTTTATCAACCTGCAAGGTTTCTTTTTACTCAAGGCTGGGTATAGACTTCCAGAGCAATTTCAATTCAGTGCTGTTTTTTTGAGGAATAAAAAACTGGCATTTTCGCGATCAGGCGTGAAAAGACCAAGTTTCCGAGACATGGCTTGTGATCTGATCGCAAAGGCAAGCTCTGAGGTGGCAGGTGGGAGGTTGTCTTCGTAGAATTTATAAAAAAAAGCTAATAGATGTCACTGTTCTACAGTCAGTGTATGTTACGGAGTCCACCTTATTGTCCTCGACGGTCATAAAAGAGTCCTTCTTTTAAAAGCAACTGCAGGTGGCTTTAAATTTCGATATTTGTTTGTTTCCTAGATTGTTGTTTAAGATCTGTGTTATAATTTTTTTTAATATTTAGATTACAAAATTTTATGTGTCGAATATTTGTTAGACGGTTATGAATTTTATTTGATATTTCAAGATTTCCGGGTTTTTTCGACTTTGGCATGTCATAACAGGCTTAAATGCACATAACTTTACTGTAGGGTTATCAAACCAGAAATCGGGAGTGGGTGTGTGAAAAGCTGAAATAATCAGTGCAGAAGAGTAAATACAGTTAACAGCGTGACTGAACAGCAAATTAGTGTTTGAACATTTCTCAGCTGGCATAACAGTTAAAGAAAAATTCTAATATTTATGTCGAATTTGAAGTTAATGACTTAATAAGGAAGAGGGTTTATGACATCAAGATTTGGTGGCTCACATTCAAGAGATTCTTCTGTTTGACCGTTAGAGCGCTTATCTGTTTTTCGGTGCGTTTTGATTTCGCAGATTTTGTGTTGTCAAATTGATGCCACCTGCATATAAACAAGAGGAGGCGGATGTTCAAATCATTATCCCCTTTTCTTTCTACTGACGTTCAAATGTTTACTGCTTGTTCTTTGTGCTGTAGTGATATGCATATTAATTTTTTGCACTATGTGTGTAAATAAAATTTCACTTTAAAAATCAGATCTAATTAGTCAGGTTTTAGGTGTTCAAGTAAGCGCAATATAACAACTCTAAGTTTCACGCTGCAGGATATGCAGTTAAAAACAGTTTAACTTTAGTCAACTGACAGTCAAGTTTCATTTTATCTTTTAACAGGTTTTTCCGATGCATAGCTACATCAGTAAGGTTCCAGCACTGGTTTGAACATGAATTCAAACGGGTGCTAAACTGAAACTAATCTGTCTTTTCGTTCGTTAAATACTTACTGAACACACTGTCACTTATAAACCAGCATAAGACAAACTGGACACCTCCACTTGAGTCATATTTGCTGCGAAGACGAACTGTCGTTCTACCCTCAAATGTTCATATAAAATTTGGGTAACTGACAAATTAAGTTGCAGTAGTTTTAAAGGTTTCTGAAAAGACGCACTGCTATATGTGGTCAAGAAGTAAGTAAATATCTATTTTTCTTTGCAGCGTTCGTTCATCAAGTAAAGCCGGCCAATTTATTTTCACCGTCTCAGGGGCGTTAGTCTTTTTTAAAGAGGAAAATTTGAAAAAAGGGCAGTAAGGAACGAAGTGAAACACGAAGAATCCAAGAAAGTGCTGCCCAGCGTTAAAGAACATTCGAATGACATATGAGGAATAAAATCAGAGTAAAATTGAATTGTTCTAAACCTTTGAGAAAATAGCCAAAAAAAAAGCTGTAATTATCAGCTGCAAATGGTATACAGCACGTATAAAAAATACGCTAGTTTTCGGAGGTATTTGTTTTAATCATACAGCTGAAGTGCCTATTACTAAACAAAAACTTATAGTATTACCTTTGAGACTCAAAAAAGCTGTGAATTTTTACAAATTATTATCATTTGAAGAACCAATAGAATAACTCATTTATGAGGCATCCATTGCGGTCATACAAGTCACTACACCTTTTATTCGCAGCTGCTGGTAAAATATCTTTGAAAATGGAAAAAAAAAGAAAATTGAAGAGGATAAGCTCAGTTTATTGATCATTGTCTAAAACGTAATAATTTGCCTTTGAAGCCGGTATTGGACAAATCGAATAAATTTGTTTTTAATACTTTTTACTTCACACTTTTTTGTACTTTTTCGCGTACTATTATTTATTTCTTTTGAAAATGCCATTTGGCCTTACTTTTACAATGATTTTTATCGCATATTATTCACGAATTTCTTATAAATTTACTGTTAGTCAAGAGAGGAATTTTCAAATTTGGCATCATGAGCTGTGAATGGTTTCGTTGCATATCGAGCCGTCATTGACGGACGATTGTCCATTAAGGTAGGAGACAGTAGTAATATCGTTAGTGTACCAAGCAGGTTTACGAGACTAAATATCATCAACATTAAACGATCGACAACCATTGCAACGTGTGACCAATCCTCAGCAATCTGTAAAGTCAATTCTTCTGATTTATTTACTCTGCATAGTTTTTTTGACCTTACAGTTCTATAAATTCCCAACTACTTGGAAGATTTCAGAAACTGATTCTGTCAGAATATCATTAACTTTCAGATCAACAAACTTTGCTTCAAAAACTTTACTGATAGTTGTCGCAGATATGCTAGAATAATTTGTTGTAAAGATGAATAAGAAACTGTGGCATATCGCAATTTTGATCACACTGAATAAAAATACAGTACCTTGTCAGCTTTTTTGATAGCTCTGAAGTGATCAGATATAAAAGAAAGATTGTCGATCATTCTTCGAATCACATCTGGATGCATGCCTCGAAGTTTTGCTAACTGTGATAATCGAACACTTCCGCTGGAAGCCAACGTACTTGGTCGTAAATGAGGATTTAAGCGGCGTGAAGTTCCGCATCTTACAGCCAAATCTGACATATGTATTGCTATATGCAACTCTGATATAAAAACTAACTCATTAAAAATTTACTGTACTTTTCAGTTCTAATTTGTTCACGTCAATAACCTGCATAATTTTTAGACGTTTTAAACCATAAATCTATATATTTGAATATTCAAAAATATATCAAAAAAATTTATTTCACAGTTTGACACGGCCTGGAAATTTTGTTAATTTTACTAAACTTATTTGCTGTAAACAAAAAAAAATTTTTTTGAAAAAAAACGGTTTTTTATTGTTTAGATAAAACAATAAATAATACTTGCCAGTTATTAAGCTAAAATCATCAACAAAATTTTCAGTTTCGGGGGGTTTTATGAAGATGTATTTTGGAAGTTTTCGCAAAAATAGATCACGCATCCAATTTGGCAGCGGATAGGCTGTTGCATCTCTAAAATACTGCCATCTTAACGAAAAACGACTGACATTATTTTTTGCTGGTTAAGAAAGTTTTGATTCGGCAATGTCATCAACGATTATTTAGGACAAATTGGTGATAAATTACTGCTATGGATAAAATACACTATTTTTCCGGAAGTATAGCAAGCGTAAGCCTACATTTTTTTCGGCCAACTTTCTGGTTTAACGTTACCAGCAATAACTTTTTCCTTTTAACTTATTGAACAGCTTCAACACTTCTGAAGTGAGATCAGAAGCACAGACACCGAACAGTATGATCAGAGACTGTTTCACGTAAAACCAAAACCCTTACCTCCTGTACATTCTAATAATATGTACAGAGACTGTTATTGACAGTGTTACTAAAAACATGGTAAATAAAAGGTATTTTCCAATAAGCGGCACCACAAGAGACGTTGGCGGTATCAGCTCTACCAGCACGATGTAAAAGAAGGTCAGAGAAACCAGCAGCAGTATTGAAAAGGTCATTTTGTGTTCAAATGCAGGAATGTAGAAAACAATTGTTGTCAGTAAAGCTAAAAATGTAGAGTTTTGATTATTAGAAGCTTTGAATCAAAATCAAGGTGAAACTTGTGCGAAAAAACAGAATTTTCTTTTTCTATGCGATAAAAGAGAAATCTGTAAGGCAAACCAATGAGGGCACAGGGAACAACAAGGTTGACGGTATAGAAGAGTGTCTTTCTCCGAATTGTTATCACGAATGATACGTCGATGTAGAAATCTTGACCACAACAACCTGGATATAACTGTTCATGGCGCCAGCTTGTCAGATTGATTAAATCCCATTCTCCACTTCTAAGCAGTATAAAACAAGCTGCTTATATTTACTATTTTTAAGAAGAAACTTTGAAAAGAGAATAGCGAAACAGTGAAATTGGTTGAACTGATAAAAGAGCAATTAGCAGCAGCACCTGTAGGTTAATACATAGATATTTTTTCCTACAGAAACCACCTAAATTACAGAAGAATTGTCATACGCATAATACGAAGATAAGTCCATTCCATCAGCTAAATACTGAAATTCGTTTCCCCTACGATCTTTTAGTGTCTGAATTTCATCGTCAGCATCTGTCTGGAAACGTCTCTTAATTAAATTTTTATATAATTCTAAGTAATTCCAAGTCAACAAGCCGTCGTTTAACAGACACTTTAAAGCAAAAAAAAAA